TATATATATATATATATACATTACTACTAAGCAAATTACTTAGAATTTTCAGCTGTTAGGGTTAAGGTTAGAATTACGGCTAGGGTTAGGGATGATAAAAGGGGGACTAGAATATCTTGAATATGACTTGGGGTAGGCACATTTTAACTTGAGATGGTAAGAAACCAGCTAGCAACCATATAGTATGCAAAAAGAACAAGAAAGAATGCCTTAGGCAATCTACCACAAAACCCTAGTAACCGCATTGTACACTAACAAGTTAGGAATCGCATAGCAATGCCATACCAACCATTTAAAACATCTTTGCATAATGAAAGCAAGTTTTGCATCACTCACATAATTTCTTTTTTTCAGAAAATATATGTAGTTGTCAAAGTAATGAAGGACTTTTTATACTACTGCCAAGTTGATATCAAACGTGCGTATACCTGTAGGGGAAAGTGGGCAGTCCTTTGGAAATCTGCTGCCTGATGTACAGTTAAAAACTCATTTGTTTGCTTGTGGTGGCTCAAGGTGAAAGCCCTGGCAGCTGTGCCCTGATAAAATGTTCTGTAATCAAGCCAACCGGAAACTAAAGGAGGGATAAATCTCTCTGTCACCTCTCTCTTGCCCGCCTTCACCTGAAGGCCGTTGGTCTCATTAATACCCTGCCAGAGCACAGTTAGGCCATTCACATGAATATTAATCGACAAGACCCTTTTTTTCCCCTTAGCGCTCCATATTTCCCCTATCCGTTCTTTCACCTCGCTTCCAATTTCACCACAAATTCTAATCACTCCCTTAAGTCCTATGTTCTGCTCTCAATGAGAGAAGGAGAGAGCGAAGAAGGTTTGGGCAATAGAGTGTGAGCAATAGACTGTACTGGAGTGTACAAGTAAGAGAAAAAAGCCACAGGATTTGCATTTCCTTTGCTTTCTTTCACCTCTCATCTCTCTCGCTCTGTCAGGAGAGCTGCTAGAGGAAGGATGAGGATGAAAGAAAAGGGCTGACTTTCTTACCTTCTTGGAAGCGATTAATCAGCACTTTAAACCCTACAGAAAACAGCCTGAGTTTTTTGAAGGGGAATTTCAAGCAATCTTTCATGGGGGCTAGAACTAGATGGTCTCATTTGTCTCCCCAAGATTTTGGTTGATTTATGTACATCTGCAAAGCGAGGCAAAACACTGAGGACTCATTAATCTCCAAAGTGATACGTTATGTGCGATAAACCCAAACTCACAAGGCCTACACTCTTTCATTTTTATCTGTATGTGAACTGTTTTCTATGTTTCTTCTTCTCTACCTATCTCTGGCCTCCCTGATTAATGGTTAAAGAAATAAGCTTCCAAGTTAATATTATCCCTGCACTAATGAAGCCTTGTGTCAATATTGCACATTTTGAGATAGGGAACTTGGAAGGTGACCTCAGGAACATCATCAATGTTGTCCAGAAACCAGATGTTCAATTTTTTTTTTCTAAAAAAACATAGCGACTTATCGTTATTTGCTGTTTCTAAGCCTTACTGATAAAACAGCTTGGTAGGTTGGGAACTGTCGTCATACTCCTTTCCTTGTTTGTAATAAACATAAAACTGACTACTTGATCAGTTGAGTGATATTTTGAGCAGATATATCACACTGGCATTGTGTGCCAGGAGAGCACCTCTGCTTTTATCATAGATGCGATACAATGTGTACACAATCTCCGTAAATTGTGTCAGAGCTCCACAAAGGCCAAAGACCTGTGAATGACACACTAATCTTTGTATTCATAAGATAACAGCTCACACTTTCCTTGTAGTCTTTAATATGATTTGTTTATCTTAGAGGAACACTTCCTACAGTACAACATTGACATTCCCTGTGTTTGAGTATTGATTGAAGGAGTTCATTTCGAAAAGTGCTCTTGTTTGGAACTAACAGGCATGTGTTTGTAATTGAAGTTGACGGTTAGCATATGCACATGGGGTTTATGCAAGGCCAGGGTATGTTGCTGGAACTCGTCTAGTCATAAGGGGGTTATTTCCCTGGAGGAAAACAACAGCAAATTAACGGTGCCAAACAAATACGTAAGCAAGAACCTGTGCGCCTTCGTATTTTACAATGCCAAGATGGAAAGGATTAGACTGCATACTGTGGGCGAGGAAAACAAAAGTAAGAATCTAAATTAAGGCAAGCAGAGCTCACAAAATGCAAATTGCAAAAAGGAAATTGCTATTGATTTTGCTGCTGAATGCAATGAAAAGATACCTAGATGGAAGCATGCACCAAAAATGAGTAGCAAAAAAGTAAATATGTTGTTATAGCTATGAGTTTCTATCTCTGACAGTTGAAGTAAACAACTCTTTCTCTCTTTAGCTTGCAGTCCGGGAACTTTTAAGTCGAAGCAGGGTGAAGGGTTCTGCTCCCCGTGTCCGCCCAACAGCCGGACAAGTTCTGGAGCCGCCAGCATCTGTTCCTGCAGGACCGGCTACTATCGGGCGGACAATGACTCGCCTGACTCAGGATGCACCAGTGAGTAATGTCCTTCAATAAACTGCCATTTCACCCACCATGAACTTATCTAAACATAAGGAGTGTTGTTTATTTGCCATGTTCTCAGCTCTCAAAAGCCACATTGATCCAAACACCATATGTACGTTCATATGTTCATCCATATGTAAAGCAATTCCTCCGTCCAACACGCAGAAGACTACTGGGATTGTCTCGAAATGTTTCCCTTTCTCCTGTTTTATATTAGCTCCTTTCTGCTTGTATTCATTGTCAGCACTCTGAACAGATACATGCAAAAAAAAAATGTTTTCCCAAGTGAACACCACAGCTATTTCTAGCCATTTTTGATGTTAAACAGCACAAGTGGGAAAAACAAGGTTTTGCTTAATTTTAGTTACATGAAAGCACTTAATCCGCATTAAGTTTAGCCCCATTTGACCAATTTTATTTAAATTTCCTGCTTAAAAACATTTTAAACTAGCCTAATTTGGTCTGATGGTCTTAGCTGCTTACCAGGTTGGTTTCCTCTGCTCAGGCACTGCTTAGTTTGGAAGTTTTGTTAGGGTTTAGGGAATTTGTCAGTTGGTCAGCCAAACCAGCTTTGTGAAATAAAGCTAGCTGAACACGACCTTTGCTAACGGACCTGCTGGGAAAGCAACTAACCAAGGTTAAACCTGCTAACACAACAAAACATATTTTATTTTTGCAGCCGTGCCTTCAGCTCCACGCAGCGTCATCTCCAGTGTAAATGAGACATCTCTTGTACTTGAGTGGAGCGAGCCACGTGACCAAGGTGGAAGGGAGGACCTTCTCTACAATGTCATCTGTAAGAAATGTCTGCCTGAACGTGGTACCTGCACACGATGTGATGACAACGTGGATATCTCTCCCCGCCACCTTGGGCTTACTGAGAGACATGTGACGGTCAGAAACCTTCAGGCTCACACCCAGTACAGCTTTGAGATTCAGGCCGTCAATGGAGTCTCCAACAAGAATCCGTATGCACCCCAGTTTGCCTCCGTTAACATCACCACCAACCAGGCTGGTGAGTTCAGTGATTTCTTTCGATTTAAAGCTGTTACCATCCGTCATGGTCCAAAACTACCTAAACTGTTTTAGTTCTAGAGACTCTAATAACCAGCCTTGACCAGCTAGATCTGCTTACCATGTTCCAAAAGGCTACAAATATTCTCTTCCATGTGTGTCCTTAAAGGTTACAAAAATGTTTTTCTTGACATGCTCTAGTTTGAAATAATGAAGTGTAATGGCCTCTCTTAAGATATTTCCAACCCACGGCACGCTACCCAAAGAGCTCAGCCCACAGAATGCATCGATGCCAGAGAGCTGTGCTATGAGGCTCGGTAGCAAAGCTAAGCTACTCTAGGCTAGAGTGTGCTGGGTTAGTGAGATGTGGAGATGCATTAACCTTGTGAAAAAAGCCACTTATTGTGTGATTTCAAGTTTTGAATTGACACTGGACTTCGCAGGAGAGTTATGCATATGCATAACCCTCTCTTTGGCACTCTATGCTAGCACCCAGGTCCAAGAATGCCTCTGTTTGCTATCAGGGATTGACCGCAGGCATTGTCATATAACCCGGGCAGTTGTTGCACATGAGTCAATCCCGGGGTGACATGCACACCCACACAGCAGCCCACCCCCATGGTTACAAAAATTCAGAAGGGTCTGTGATCAGATTATCTCCCAGGACTGTGCTTGAATATTCATCCGCCTTTTAAGACAAAAAATAAATATGGGCCATTAGCTCAAGGGACGTCATGGTTACGTCCACTGTCTCCTCAAGATGAGGCCCCTTAATCCTGGGGTGAAAGTAAGCAAGCAGGCTGCCCATGGATCATTGTCTTCAGGGTGAGGCTTTTCTGAGCAAGGCCTGGGTTAGGAGGTTGATGGTGTTGGGTTGGGGGAGAGTGAGCTTTTGGGGGAGGTGGACAAAGAGACAGGCAGAATAATAAAGAGCTACTAGGGAAAGGATCAAAGAACCGGACCTGGGGATTAAAACGCTTTTAACAAAGAATGAGTGAGGGAGAAAGAGACAGAGGCAAGAAAGTAGGGGATATTGAGAGCTACTGTAGTGTGTGAACAGAACTTGATAACATCAGAAACCGGAGATGGCAACATCAGGTCTGAGGACAAATGGGGATGATACAGATTATGTAAAGCTAAGATAAGGAAGGAGCTATGGAAGAAGTTGTGTTAACACGAATATATGGGTTAAAAAAAAGCCCAGGTTACGTTTAATCCTAAAAACAAACAATAGATTATAACTTGCATAAAGTCAGTGTTAAAGGATATGATAATTACCCCAATATTCAAATTTTTTAATTAAATTAAATTAAAGAGAGCACAACTTACACTAACATGATGTAAAAATACTTTACAATTTAAACAGTAATTTGGCAAAGAAAGTGCATAATTGTCAAAAAAATATGAGATTATGGAAGACAGACAGTAAGAAGTCGTCATGGGTCATAACAAAGAGCATAGGGAGTGGACAGAGGGTGTGTACAGCTATGCATATATTTGCATGTGTTTGTAGGTTGTGTGGACTGGATGTGCCAGATACTAAGCCTTCCGGTTTGTCTGTCATGGTACTTTTCACAAGAGACTTTAGAATCCATTCTGTCTGTGCAGTTTAAGAGGCTGGGGCCCCGAAAGGGCCCAAGACTAAGAGCTGTCTGATGCCTACACATCAAAGCAGCCTTTTGGTAATCCTGAATGGGAGCATGCTCTAAATGTGAAAAATAGAAATTCAGGTTTTATTAAGATATGATTTCTCTCATTTTCCCTACACAGCTCCCTCTGCAGTTCCTACCGTCCACCTGATGGGGGCCTCAGCCAACACCATGAGTCTTTCCTGGCTCCCCCCTGAAAAACCAAATGGCATAATCTTGGATTACGAGATTAAATACCATGAGAAGGTAAGAGCCAGTGTAAGTCAATGAAGCGAAGGGCATTCAATCACAATTCCACCACTGTCATCCTCTGCTCTATACATAATCGTTCATCCTGACAACAGCATCAACCCTTCCTCTCTCTCGTATTCTAACATTCTTCCCTAACTCCTTCCTTGATTCATCCCCTTCTTTTGAACGCTGACACCGCAAGGCAGTAG